CAATTTTTAGGCTACTCAGAAATATATTTTGTGACTAAGAATTATTTCATATATATAAAAATATAAATATGTGTCTACAGGACCTGTGATGCAGAAGAAAATTCAAGTAAAAAAATTTTACTTTAAAATTATCAGGATGTTATCAAATTTATACTTCAAGTGAGAAATAATTACCCAGTGGAGATGCTTTTGACGCAGGTTTTCTCAAGCTCACCCCAGTAACATGCTTCCTCCAGGAAAGCCACATCTAAAAGTTCTATAACTCTCTCCAAACAGTACCACCAACTGTGGCCAAGTATTCAAATACTCAGAGCCTATGGGGGACATTTGTCATTCAAACCACAAACATTATTCAAAAAAGCTAAGTTATGAAACCAATCTAAGTATCCAACAACAAAGGAATGGATAAGGAAAATATCATATATATGATAGAATTTTTTCAGTTGAAGATAAAGTTTTATGTGTAGGGAAAATAGATGCAGTTGGAGATAATCACATTGAGCAAATTAAGTCAATCTCAGAAAGACACATCCTGTTTTCTCTCATTTGTGGTTCCTAGATTTTTATAGGATCACATAAAATCATATATTTACATATTAAATGAAAGTGAAATTGTCTAGAATGAAGGGGATTAATAGGAGGGGCAAGAAAGGGAAGGATAGGAGGATAGGGTTATATGCTCAATATACAATATATACCTGTACAATTTTTTAAATAATTAAAAATTGGAGACTGTCACATGCACATGGAAAGGAGGTTAAGTTGAACTTGAGACCCTTGTTCCTATGGGTGACATGGGTGTTCAGTCTGTATTGACAAGTGTCCAGTCACCTGAGCTGTCTTTACTTAATATTTTCCTTCTTTGTGTACCAGGGCCCTCTGCTGGCCACACTTAGCATTGCAGTCTGTGGGCTGCACTTCCTAGGAGGCGTCTACTGTTCTAGCTGCAGGATGTTTTCCAAGTACATTGGAAATATGGGAAGCAATCACAGTCCTGAGATCCATACATGTGGAGGGATAAATTGTTCTGCATACTTTCAAGACCTCCTAAGTATTTATTAATCATCCTGCTGCAGGGATGCAGCTGTGGATGTCAAGCACACCACTAGCACTTCAGTTTTCAGGCACTACAGCAGTATACACTAGATAGGGAGCTCCAGAGGTTGATCCCCTGGCTGACCTGATGCTCAGGTCATCAAACTCCAGCACTCTCAGTTGATGAGATCTGCTTCTAGTCACCAAGTACAGGCTGCCTTTCCCCATGTACTTCACTGCCTGACCAGGGCCTCCTCCCCACCACTGCCTCCCAGGGCTGTCTCTCATCCTAGGGCTGTGACAAATTGAATTTAGATACCCTGTCTGTGGTTCTTTCCCAATTTCAAGCACTAGGTTCTCTTGCAGGATGGCATTCAGTGACCCCCTAGGAGTTGTATAGAATGGGATCTCCTCATTGCTGACCTGTCTGCCAGAGGACTCGGTCCCACAGCTGAGTTTTAAGGCTTATGAGTACTGGACTTATCCTAAGGGCAGCAAGAAGAACAGGAGGAAGAGGAAAAGGAAGAGGAGGAAGAGGAGGAGGAGGAGGAGGAAGAGGAGGAGGAAGAGGAGGAGGAAGAGGAGGAGGAGGAAGAGGAGGAGGAGGAGGAAGAGGAGGGCTCACTATATATCCCCGGCAGGCCTCTTTCAGTCTCTTTTCCCCAGGGCTTCCTGGCTTACTTTTTTAGAAGAGTCCTGCATGTCTTCTACCACAAGCGGGTCCCTGTTCAGCTTAGCTTCCTTGCCAGGTGCTGCTCTGCCCATCTTTTCCCCCACACATTCTAGGTATCCTGTCATTACCATTGTGAATTTCTGAAGGTCTTCTCTTTCCTTCCTTGGAGTAGACTCTATTTTTTTCTTTTCTCATTCTGACTCTTCTTCACTGGTCACACAGAGGCAGCTTCTAGTCTACAATCTTAACAGGAATTCCCCCAAGATTTTTTTCCAGTGTTGGGGATCAAATCCAGGGCCTCACACTTTACACTTAAGCTCTATTCCTAGCCCCTGGGGGGGGGGGGAGTTGTTATTTTGTTACTGTCTATTGCTTAGTTGATTGGGGTTTTTGTTTTGAGCTGCATAGCACAGGCTAGCCTCACATTATCCATTCTCCTGTTTCAACCTCCCTACTGTTGTGGTTACAAGTATGTGCCACCATGCCTGGTGACATCATTTTTTTTACATTTATTTTGTGTGTTTTCATATATTTATATGTGTCAGCACATAGGTGCCAGGGATTGAACGTGGGCTGTCAGGCTTAGCAGCAAGTGCCTTTACCTGCTGAGACATTTCATTGTCCCAGCCTCATATTTTTATAAACATATAATTAATTATTTTTTTTAATACCACTGTCCTAGTTTGTTTCTTCATTACTGTGACAAAACACTCTGACCAGTACCAACTTCGGGAGGAAAGGGTTTATTCAGCTTATATATCCAAGGTAGGAGCTCAGGGCAGAAACCCGGAAGCAGGAGCTGGAGCACAGGCCATGGAGGAACTCTGCTCACTGGTTTGCTCTCCTGGCCCCTGCTCAGCTTGCTCTCTTATTCAACACAGGCCCACCTGCCCAGGGGTGGTACTACCCACAGTGGGCTGGGCCCTCCCACATCACTCAACAATCAAGAAAATGACCCACAGACATGGCCACAGGCCAGTCCAATGGAGGCAATTCCCCAATTGAGGCTCCCTCAACCCAGATGTGTCAAGTTGACACTAAAGCTATCCAGTACAACCATTCAGACTGCATCCTCTCTCTCTACTGTCTGGAAAGAGAGAAGAATGATCATCAATGGCAAAAGGCAGTTGCCAAAAAGCAACATTAAGAGCCGCTTCACACTCATGAGAGAATGCCATATATCATCATAGTTTCTGGTACTCTACAAACTCAGAGAAACTTCTTTAGTAACAAACTCTAGAAATGATTCCTGAAAGTATAGTCTTTAAACAAGATATAATTACTTTTAAAATCCATACTGCAAAAGAAAAAGAAAGAAAACCAATACTGCAGTCAGCAGTATTGAAATATTTAGTGTATTTACCTTTAAGATAATTATACATTTAGGGTAAATCATTAATATTTCTCCTGAGACCAAAGAGATGGTTCAGTAGTTAAGAGTGCATACTGTACAAGCAGGACGCCCTGAGTTCAAATCCCCAGCACCCACATAAAAATATGGCCACATGTACCCGTAACCCCGGATTGTGGAGGGCAGAGACAGGAGGCTTGCTGGCCCTTGCTGGATGCTAGCCTAGCCCCAGATTCAGTGAGATTCTGTCTGAAGGAAATAAGAAGGAGAGTGGTAAAGCAGGATCCCTAATGTTTTCCTCTGGACTCTGCAGGTACACATGGGCGCAAACAACCACACACACACACACACACACACACACACACACACTATATATATATATATATACAAATTAATAATAATTAATATCCCTCTTATAGATCTTTCCCTAAAGAAGTTCCTGGCTGTCCTGGAACTTGCTATGTAGACAAGACAGGACTTGAACTCAAGAGATCCACCTGCCTGTCTTCCAAGTACTGGGATTAAAGGCATGTGCCACTACGCCTGGCTAGGAAAAATTTTCTTCTAAGAAATGAGAAGTTTTGCATTGCTACTCTTCAATGAAACACACACACACACACACACACACACACACACACCTCCAAATAGTTGATACTGCCAAACTTTAAGTTTCAGCTAATAAAACAGTTTTGCATAAACACATTCTTTTACCTCCAGATACTGTCTCTTCCAATACAAAAAAGAAAAAAGGAAAAAAAAAAAGAATTGTGTCTTATACTACAAACTTCCCTAACTCTACCTAACTTCCTAATACCTAGTAATCCCAATTTCAGTTTTAAAAGGACTAGTTTAATATCACCCATCACCATCACCTTCCTTGTAACCAGACCTGCTAGTAGTAACAGTAATGAGGCTTTTAAATGGTGTGTAATGTTTGGTATCACCCTAGCATTTTGTGCTGTAGCTCATGAATCCTCATAATCTGTCTGTAATTTTGGCATTATAATCCCCGCTTATCAACAGCAGACACAGGAAGGCCAAGTAACTGATACAAGATCACAAACTAAGCAGGGTGCCATAGTAGGAATCTAACCAAGATTGTGACCTCCTTGCTCTTAGCCATTCTTTATCCCACTGCTGAGGTGTGTACCCTCACAATGCAGGGGGTGCAAACCCAGTGTCATTTGCAAGCACACTTGTCTTGGCATTATGGGGAACACAAGTAAACAAAAGTGTTCTAGGGCAAGTCTGTAGATTTTAACAACTTCAGATGCTTTCTCCTGGATCTAGGTGTGGCAAGATAATAGCTATGTCATTGGGCCATCCACTTGAGTACTTCAGGGAGCCAGGATTTTATGATCAATAGAATTTCTGGGAATTATTTTTGTCCAGTAAAAATTTATAAATTCATAGGCCTAGATGTTCCTTAAGAGAGTTATTATTCCAGATCACCGCCCCCCAACTTGTGTGTGTGACTGTAACTATGTATCTCGGTCTTTCGGGCTGACCTTGAACTCTGGATTCTCCGGCGTCAGCCTCCCAAGTGCTGGGATTACAGGTATCTGCCATCCCTACTTTA